TAACCCTCTTATGACCATAAATATAACTGGTATTTTTTGTTTTGTTTTATGGCTTTAAAATTGAAATAAAAAAGTGTAAAATATTTGTAACTCTGCTCCTTTTTCCAGAACAACCTCAGCTTTCAGTCTGGTTTATATTTAGTGTTTATGTTTATTAGTCTGTAAAACTGCAGCTTAAATGAAAAAAGAAACAGATTTGAATTTTCTTTACATTTATTACTAAACAGGAACTTCAAAATGACTTGAGAAAACTATGTCAAAAGAACTACCGGTATTTAAACTCAGAACTGTGTTGCAAACACTCAGAAAACAGTGTGACCCCTGACCTCATGTTAACCAGTTTAATGACTGCAGCCTGTCTGTGACCACAGGTCTACGCTCTGGTCTAGAGAATGGGATACAGTAAAATAAATACTAGGTATCATAAAATAACACTCATAGGCTACTTCACAACTGTAGCTACATTTCTACCAGCATTATGAAGATCAATAAGCCAGATAAGGTTAAATGTAAACATTTCACTACAAAACGTCAACTAATAAAATTGTGCACTGATAAAATTATTTTTCAGCTAAATAAATATTTATTGTAAGTATAAATAATGCTGGAATGAAGCTGAATCATTTAGTAAACAGTTGTGTGTTCAAATAAAAACCAGTGTGACTGTAATCTGTCCCTCCTCATGTCACCATCCACAGAAACAGCCTTCTGGGACACCTGACCAACCAGGTGGATTTTATTCGTGACGTTTCCATAACTTTATAAATGCTGATGATGAAGATTATCAGAATATCTCCTCCCTTTGGTTCTCTGCTCTCCCGTCGCGGTTCGCTCCGTTTCTTTCTGTGAGGCTGCAAAGCTGGTTTCCTTCTAATAGCGATTTTTGAAATAACATGAATTACATCATGTAATCTCGTTGGAAAGCTCATTTTATGTACTTTTAGAAACCGTTTGAATTATTTTTATTTGATTAGTTCAGAAGTTATGACCCGGAGAATCTAGAGTGAGAAATATCAACATCTGTGATTCTTGTTGTGAGTTTCTTCAACACTTCAGGAGAAATCTCTCTCATGTCTCATTTTCTGTCCCAGACATGCAGCTACCTGACTCTGCTCCACACACACTAGCCACGGACCAGAGGTGGAAAGAGTACTAAAATTTCCTACTTAAGTACGAGTACCAGTACTCTGATAATTTTTTACTCAAGTACAAGTACTTGCCTAAATTTTTCCTCAAGTAAAAGTAAAAAATATCGTAAATAAAATGTACTCAAAGTAAAAGTTACTTAGTTACATTTTCGTCAGCGTAAAGATGGTTACATCAGTGCAAAACCACAACACCAGTTCACAACACACTCGTGTGTACACGCACACACACAGACACACACACAGTTTGATGGAAGGATTTCTATCCAATCAGTGAGAACAGGACGTGCACATTGATTGAACGAGGTTTTTCTAGGATTGTACGTTTTGATTGTGATTAAAATTATTCTTTATTTTGAAAAAAAAAGTTAATTTTTAGATTCCATAAGTATATGAGGTATCTCAATGTTCTCATGACAAAACTCTAACATGAGACTGTGCTCTAACCTGTCACATAACGAGCTAAATGAAAGTCAAACATTTCAAATGGACCGTATGACAGCTGCTAACGTTGGCCCTGCCCCACTTTACAGTTCCTTTATTCGTGTCCATCCTAGAGCTCCTCTCTGACCTTCATGCTTATTTAGAGCAGCTGATTTTTAAAGTTAGCAGAGTTCATCCTTGGTAGTGGGTTCACTCACTCATTGAAAGATATCGGCCAGAGGCAAAATTCATTTGAACAGCATGTGTAAATGTGTATTAAAATCTTAGATGAAAATGATTTTTGGATTTTGACGGCTGGAATTGTAAGAAAATCTGATGTTTGTGACTGGTGCGGGAAAAACAAAAACTAACTTGCGGTCTAAGCCCTGGGCAGCTGGTGACGTTTCACATGGAGCTCTGCTGAAACAGCTGCAGTAAACAACGCCTGACTCTGGTGTTTCTGCGTTAGCATTATAGCAGAGAACAATGTGTCATCAATCAGATGTAGCTTCTGAAGCATCTACTAGTCGGTCAGATTTGTTTTTTCTCTGGGATACGACGACGAGAACGGATATTGGATTACCGGAGAAGTTCAACCGAACTCCGACCCCGCCAGCTGGATATCACTACCAGAGGTGCAGACATGTTTTAGACCATTTGACTCAGAAGACCTGTGACCCGATTTGGACATAGAGGAGGATTCTGCTCATCTTCAGAACCAAAATTGGTACAGTTTGTTTACTTTTCATAAATATTTCATTTCTGTGCTCCACTGGGAGCTCTAAGCCGACGAGTTCTCAGCTGGTCTTAGCTCCATCATGTGTCCCAATATAGTTCAGTAATCTACAGTTTTACTGCTGCGTGAATTTAGTGATATAACTCTGGAAAATATTTAACCGACAATTTACCAGAATAAATCTTCCTGATGCTGGAGTAACTCCTTAGCTCAATTCGTTGTTTGCACTAATACAGGATGTCATGGAGGTTCTGATGTTGAAATATAGAGATAATCTTTTAGATTATATCTGTGTGTGTGTGTTTGTGTGTGTGTGTGTGTGTGTGTGTGTGTGTGTGTGTGTGTGTGTGTGTGTGTGTGTGTGTGTGTGTGTGTGTGTGTGTGTGTGTGTGTGTGCGCGCGCGAGTGTGTGTGTGTGCGCGCGCGAGTGTGTGTGTGGTAGCTTTCCCAAAGGACTTGTTCTTTCCTTACTGGAGCTAACATGGTTAGCAGTTTTGCTGCAGTCATGCTAACGGGACTCGTCTAGAGTCCACAAGTAGTGGTGCTGTTCTAGATGTATATATAGATGTAGGTTATTATTTTAGATCAGACCTGTTATTTAAAAATGTGTGTAGGACACAGATACATGGCTCAGACCTTTTGCTGCAGCTGTAAACGCAATTTTACGTAATAATTAGGAGCATGAAAGTAAACAAATAACAGCGATTCACAATACTAGCATCAGCAGCTACCTTGTTTTACGTACTGGAGTGACGTATGCGGAACACAGTTCTTCAATGACTGGAGGAGAGGATTTGGATTTTCTGTAATGATTTATGACAAAAGTCCTTAACAAAATAAAAAACTGAACCCAGTACATGTTTATATAGATGGTAAAGTGTAGTTATTTTGCATTTCTACCATTTTAATGCCGAGCCAATACCTTTAACCCTTCACCACTGAAATCAGTTTGTTCATTCCAATCCTCCTAAATAATCCTCCAATCATCCAACTGGAATCCTTAAGGGTCCCGTAACGTCAATCCTGTCAGAATAAGCCTTGGGAGCTCAGGTGTTACTAGAACTAATGGTGTCTCCTCACCAGCGTGAGCCTCCAAACTGTGAAGGTTGGTCTCCAAACATGAACTTTAAATTTATGCATTTATCTCCTCTTGTAACACTTTAACATGTTTTAAAAGGCTTGTATCATGATATGTTACACCTCCCAGACCAAAGATAAGATAAAATATTATCATAAACACTGCAGAGACGTCATTATTTATGAAATCTAAGTTATTTTCCTGAGCCGTTACTTCAGCCAAGATATAGGATGCATGGATTTGATGAAACCATGCTGTCTCATGCAGTCCTATATGTGTAACACACACACACACACACACACACACACACACACACACACACACACACTGCAGCATGTTAGAATCATTTGAATGACTAATTTCACTACATTGAACAGATTTTGTAATAATTTAATCTCTTATTCTGGAGTAAAATAAAGAAACAAGCTAAATCATTACATATCTGTGGCATCAAGGAGCATCTTCTGAGTTCAAACAGGGATGGAGCACAATGTTTACACCTGAACAGTATCAGGATGTTTTAACTCACAGAGGCCTGCAGGTCATCTGTTTTAGGAGCAGAGCGCTGATAATCCGCTTGTTATGAGCGCTAAACGTTATTTTGCCGCTTCCGTGCAGAGCGGCAGGGAAACACATTTCAAACACGGAACCGAGTCTGGTTGCTGAACCGAGCAGAATTCTGATGACGTCACACCGGTGCTCGAAGGTGCGGGATCCAACCCACAGGAGAGGAGGGAGAGAAGAGGTAAACAGCTAGTGGATCACAGAGACTGAACTGATGTTTTTGAGCAAAAGTGCGGTAAAAATGGCTGTTTGGCCTCATTATCAATTAACCCCCCACCCCCCCAGATGCGTTGCTCATGCAGGTGTCTCTTTCTGTTCCTACGCTGCTACACGTAATATTTTTAATTTATTAAGCCTACAATTTATTTTTATTCAGTAACGGATATTTGTAGCGAATTACAATTCTTTTTTAAAACGTACTCAAGTAAAAGTACAGATTTTAAAAACGATTTAAAAAGTATAAATATACAAAAAAACTACTCAATTACAGTAACGTGAGTAAAGGTAATTCGTTACTTTCCACCTCTGCCACAGACTCAAACGCACGTAAACAAAAGTTCTAATATTAAAATCCATCCAGCTGACGTGAAGCAGGCAGAAAAAAGAACTTACAGGTAGATGAATGCAGACTCCAGCCCACAGGCAAAACACAGGTCTGACGTCTCCATGGCTACAAGGTTGAGCGAGAGCAGGGACAACCAATCACACGTTACTATGATGCGGCAGAGCCAATCAGTGAGCTTGTAGGCGGATCTAAGGGAAAATAGGCTTCAGCTTGAGGCGGCTGCCTCTGCATGGTCCTAGTGCCCGATATGTATCACAGTATAACAGTTTTGTATGGTATGATCTGACGAAAGACCAGAAAAAGGGCACTTTGGGCACGTAGGACAAAAGGGGCAGGTGCTCAAGCCCCCCCCCCCCCCCCCCCCCCCGCACGTGCCAGGTGCTAAACTTATACAGATCATTATTTTAAAGACTGAACCTAATTCTCATAATTTCACTGTCATGTACCTCCATGGACTGACAATATATTTATTCATTTATCTACCAGTACCTGTGTCCATGCTGTCCAGGTCCAGGTGGTGAAGAACACACGATGAAGCAGTCCCAGCTGATGGATGATCCTGAAGTGGTAGCAGGTTTTCTTTAGCCGTGTTCAGCTAACAGCTGCAATAGAAACAAAGCAGGAGAGCTGATTAAGATGCTGCTTCAGAACAACGCGAGAGATTAAAGATACAACGCTTTGGTTCTGATCAGCTGAGGACAGATCCAGTCTGGAAAAGAGGACCTTTGGTCACCAGAGTTCACGGAGTAGAGCTAACCGCTTTTTCCTCCAGAGTCACAATCAGATTCGGGGCTTTTCCGTCGGAGAGTGTGAGCAGGATGAATCAGAGAGTGAGCAGCGATCCTGCATCATGACCAACTCAGATGAGCAAGTCTGATAGAAGGAACCTCTTCAATCTGATGAAAGCAGCAAAACGAGCGCGTTTCTCAGAGAGGCCAAAGGAACAGCAGCAGATCCAGAGGGCAGGAAGTCTAGAGAAAAGCTTTTCTCACCTACAACCTGATTCTGGAGCTCCGATTGTCACGAAGACCGCAGAATATCTTCTCTGGTTCTGGAAAGAACTCCACCAAGTGTTTGAGGAGGAGAAGAAAGTTTCCACAGCCTGGTGAGAAGATTTCTGCTGCAGCAGCAGTTAGTCGCTCTAGCTGGTCAACTCTCCCAGAGACTGAAGTGAAGACATTTTTACTGCAGAGCCTCAAATATTCTCCTCACACACCAGAACAACAACAAGCTAGTTCTTCTAGCAGCTTCCGGTTTCTGCTTCTTCCGATGGTCGGTGACCAGCGTAAAGGTGCACTAGCGCCACATGCTGGAGCCTAATAAAACACACCTGTGTGTTCAGAATGGGACTAATAAAACACATAACATGTGATATCTTCCTCAAACAAGTACTTAAAGTAAAGACAAGTTAGTTTTGCATATGTTATAATAATTTTGTTATTTACTTTATTTTTATTTTAAAGTTGTTTGTTTTTATTTCACCTGTTTTTCTTTGATGTAAAGCTAATCATGTGTCTGTCGCTGCTACCTCTTGGCCAGATCATTGTTGTAAATGAGAATGAGTTCTCTATCGGCTCATCTGGTTAAATAAATAACATTTTAAGTTGTTTCTTCAAATGCTCTGACAAACAAGTAAAATAATTTTACTTTTTGATGTTTCATTAACTAAATGCATTTTATTTACTTATTTTTATATTCTTCATTTAACAGGAAGGTTCCATTGAGATTAAAATTCTCATTTTTGAGGGAGCTCTGGCCAAGAGGCAGTAAAAGATACAATCACAACATTTTTGTTACAGTTATGTACAAAATTATAGAAGGCAGTTACAACCAGGGGCGTGGGACAAGAAGTAAGCCACAAATTGCCTTATGTTGCAATCAGCACACTTTATTTTCCACATGCATTAGGAGAGATTCTGCCACCCTCAGTCCCTGTGACAAATCTGAAGATTTTACAAGATGTATACCTTTTTATTCTTCCTCTCATGCTGCCAAGTTTCATGTTGACCCCTCCCTAACTTTATTGAAGGCCATCATCTGTTGCCTTGGTAACTGACATTCCTCTCTGCTTTCACTCCCTCCTCCAGATAAGATGGGAGACACATTGCCCCATCTGCTTCTTACCCTATCTTCCTTTGCTAAGGCTGCGATGACATACGTCCTGGCTTTTGCCCTTTGAACAGCTTTTAGATGGTCTAGTCTGCACCTGGCCTGCGCCTGTTGAGATTCTCCTTCAGCACAAGCTGAAACCTAGCAGTATAAGCCTGCATAAATCAGCTATAGGTCTAACTCAGTGCTAGGCTGTACCAGTCACAGGTGAGTCATCCATTTGGTATATGCATCGTTCAGTTCAAAGGGATGTGCGTAACACCCGATCACTGAAATTATTAATGTGGGGATTAGCATACAGGTGATTAATTATAAGCATATAAATACACGTGTGATCAAACCTTATTTTCACAAAGCATACTGATGATTAACCATAAAAATGAATATATGATTGTCACATATGTGATTAAACATTATTTTTCCTTACATAGGCCATCATACAATGAAATGAAACAGAAGTTAATTTAAATTAACAGTATTTCTGATGTACATACATACAAATACATACATACATACATATATATATATATATATATATATATATATATATATATATATATATATATATACATATATTATATATATATATATATATATATATATATATATATATATACATATATATATATGTACAGTGTATATATATATATATATATATATATATATATATATATATATGTGTGTGTGTGTGTGTGTATATATATGTATATATATATATATACATATATATGTATATATATATATATATATTTATATATATCTATCAGACTTTTGTGCCCATCGTTCTGACCGCAGGGTTAAAAACAGGTCATGATAAGCTTCTTTCCGTTACTTTTATTTTTCAATAATAATAATTAACATTCAACACCATTACATTTCTGTTTTAATTTAACTATCATGGATATTTAAAGTGCCCCGGTAAACAAAGCAATTTAATGCTTCCACTTGAGGACAGAACGCTCTCTCATCATCCTTCTGCTTCGCGAAAACCTGAACTGGTCATCTGCTTGTGCGTAATCATATGTCTCCAGGGAAAAACTGAAAAATCTACAGCCCTGAGGTTCACTTTGCCTCAGACAGACTTTTTGCTGTTCTATGTTTTGGCCGAATCCGCGATCCGCAGCCACAGGGACTGGAATAACAAATGCTTCTGCATTAACATGAGTTGTGGTCACCACCACATATGATTACGCAGATTAACAGATGAAATAAAAACAAACAACAATAAAATAAAAATAAAGTAAATAACAAAATTATTATAACAGGTGTAAAACTAACTTGTCTTTACTTTAAGTACTTGTTTGAGGAAGATATCACATGTTATGTGTTTTTTTAGTCCCATTCTGAACACACAGGTGTGTTTTATTAGGCTCCAGCAAGTGGCGCTAGTGTACCTTTACGCTGGTCACCGACCATCGGAAGAAGCAAAAACCGAAAGCTGCTAGCAGAGCTAGCTTGTTGTTGTTCTGGTGTGTGAGGAGAATATTTGAGGCTCTGCAGTAAAAATGTCTTCACTTCAGTCTCTGGGAGAGTTGATCAGCTAGAGCGACTAACTGCTGCTGCAGCAGAAATCTTCTCACCATGCTGTGGAAACTTTCTTCTCCTCCTCAAACACTTGGTGAGTTCTTTCCAGAACCAGAGAAGATATTCTGCGGTCTTCGTGACAATCGGAGCTCCAGAATCAGTTGTAGGTGAGAAAAGCTTTTCTCTAGACTTCCTGCCCTCTGGATCTGCTGCTGTTCCTTTGGCCTCTCAGAGAAACGCGCTCGTTTTGCTGCTTTCATCAGACTGAAGAGGTTCCCTCTATCAGACTCGCTCATCTGAGTTGGTCATGATGCAGGGTCGCTGCTCGCTCTCTGATCCATCCTGCTCACACTCTCCGACGGAAAAGCCCCGAATCTGAATGTGACTCTGGAGGAAAAAGCGGTTAGCTCTACTCTGTGAACTCTGGTGACCAAAGGTCCTCTTTTCCAGACTGGATCTGTCCTCAGCTGATCAGAACCAAAGCGTTTGATCTTTAATCTCCTGCGTTGTTCTGAAGCAGCATCTTAATCAGCTCGCCTGCTTTGTTTCTATTGCAGCTGTTAGCTAAACACGGCTAAAGAAAACCTGCTACCACTTCAGGATCATCCATCATCTGGGACTGCTTCATCGTGTGTTCTTCACCACCTGGACCTGGACAGCATGGACACAGGTACTGGTGGATGAATGAATGAATATATTGTCAGTCTATGGAGGGACATTACAGTGAAATTATGAGAATGAGGTTCAGTCTTTAAAATAATGATCTATATATGTTTAGCACCTGTTTAGATAATGAGGACAAACAGCCATTTTTACCGCAGTTTTGCTCAAAAACATCAGTTCAGTCCATGGACGTCACTAGGATTGAGATATAGGGGGGCTTAGCCCCAGGAGCTTGATCTTGAACGTTTTTTGTCACACCCTGCAAAAACTTTGTCAATTAATTCATTATATGAAGAACATTTAACAAAACCTATTATTTTATCACTTTCTTTTCCTTTCCTACCTTTGTGCATTTTCTCTCTTCTTTTAATAAAAAATAACACTTAATCAGTTCATTAGCGGGGTCTATGTTGAAGAAAGATTTAATGTAAGTCCATTAAAAATTAGATATGTTATATTTCCAAATAAAGCTATTTATTTCAGTCTACTGCACTTAACAGGGGGAAATGATGTAGTCATTTATTTAATTTGTTTAATTACAACTTGTTTAATTATAAATGTTACTGACATGTGACAATAAAGAACAAATTAATAATTGTCAAACTATTATTCTGCCATATGAGTGTGCAGTTGACAGTTTTAATATATGAATAACACTGCTATGATATGGAATAAAGGAGTATGTAATTAACAATTACAAGACAAAATAACAGTATATATAAAAATATCCAGCAAGTAGTAGAACTTATAATACAGAAAGTCAACTATACAGATACAACTTGACATAAGGTTGCAGGTCAAATGATAATTATAGTTTTTTTTTTTCTCAAGGTCTCTTACCTGTTCACTCCTAAATAGAAAACTGTTCAATTTTGCTTGGGAACTTTGTGCTCAGGTAAATGCTCATAACGGTGCGCTCGCCCCTGTTTTCGCTGTAGATCACTGACCTTGACCATGCAGATCTCCTCAGCATCAACCACCTGGTCTCTCTCCTGTTCCTCACTCACTCTCTTAAAAAATCTTCGTATATCCATCTAGCCAACACATTGAAAAACATTTTCAATTTCTAATGCCAAAACAAATGCTACTATGCCATTTAGTTTTCACTCACAATAATTGAAACAGCCATTGGTGGATAAATGGAACAGAATATGGACAACTGTTAGCCTAATATAGCCTATGCTTGGTTGCTCATGATGATGGCATTGTCCATAGCGTCACATTAAGCTGCCAAAATTTATGTTAAAGTTAGATGAGTACAATTTCTCCTTTCTTTACCATAGGTAAACATAGGAAATATTAAGCAACTGACAACCCACATGGAAAGAAGTCATAAACATATAGGTTTTAATATATGTTTTGATGTAGCTTTTGAATATATGTGACATATATAAAACTGGCTGTTTACTATATTATAGATACATATATGTACCTATAATATATTATAGAAAAAATATATAATATAGAAAAATGGTCAATAATATACACATTCGGCCATATTCTGATTCAGGTTTTTAGTGTGGAGTGATTTTTGTGCCACCAACTGGAGTGTGCAGTGATAAATCTGCAAGAGCAACACCGGCTCTGCAGTCGTATGCAGCCCTCTCTCTGCATGCTCAACTCCGTCTCTGCCTGCACAGATCTCTCCCTGTTGTTGCTCAATTTGCAATTTTTAAAGCAATGTAGCCTCTCCGTCAGCCAATCAGACAGCTCTCCATTATGCAATCAAAGCATGTCCAGGAAATACTGCCAGGAAAATTGCACTTTTTTCAGATAAAGAGGACTTTATATAATTATATTTAATTAGGTTGATTAACCCTCCTCTTTTCCTGGGACATTTCCACTGTTCACTTCCTTTCACACACCAAGGGATCATTTATGTCTAACCAAACAGAGAAGAAACACTTTATATGTTGAAATTAAAAGTCCTCTTTAACTGAAAAGTGTGCAATTTAACAGTTTTAGGAATAGGCAATGTGTCTTTTCTGGAAGTCAAATATGGTCACCCTAATCATGACACATGAATTACAACAAAGTATTTTGCAGGCAGTGGATGGTGACTGGTAGCTAACCAGCAGCAGAAAGCAGTTCAATAAGCTGTTAAATGGGTGTTTTTCTGTAAAGCAGTGTTTCCTGGACATGCTTTGATTGGATAAAACAGAGCTGTCTGTGATTTACTGTTGGAGAGGCTACTTGTTGAGGAGAGCAGGGAGAGATTTGCATGCACAGAGACAGAGTTGAGCCCACAGAGGGCTGCAGCTGCTGCACACAAGCACAGAGCAGGTTCTGTTTGTGCAGACTCATTACTGTACGCTCAAGTTGGTGGCACTAAGTCACTCAATGAACTGGTTGGTTCGTTAATCATGTCACTTCAGGGGAGTTTTCCGACCATTTTACTTGACATCAAAGCTTTTCATTATGGTTTGCGGCATATAAACATGCTACCGGAGTTAGCATTAGCATGTCGGTGCGGTAGCATTTTCCTCTCAAAGAAGTCTGAACTATAACCTTGAAATGTTAACGGTGTCCTGCTGTTGCTGTCTTACCCTAATGTGATGTTGAGTGACTTACATGAGCGCTGAGCAGGGTTTGCTCAACGATATATAGGTTTTGCTGTATCGCCCCGCCCCCTGACTTGTCAACAAAGCTGCAGGAAGTGGAGGAAGTTCTTTCTTGATACTTCCTGTGTGCGACGGTGTAGTTCTATATTCATTAATTATTATTTCTGTTTTAGACTAAAAAACTCATGTACCAACTACACATGTCGTGATTGTGTTGAGCATTTAGATGTGAACAAATAAAAAAAAGTTAACTGAAAAAAAAAATAAAATAAACCAAAATGATAGGGGGCTTGTCCTAAAACGGACCTAACGACGTCAGCGGTTCAGTCCCTGTGATCCACTCGCTGTTTACCTCTTCTCTCCCTCCTCTCCTGTGGGTTGGAACCCACACCTTCGAGCGCCGGTGTGACGTCATCAGAATTCTGCTCGGTTCAGTAACCAGACTCGGTTCCGTGTTTGAAATGTGTTTCCCTGCCGCTCCGCACGGAAGCGGCAAAATAACGTTTAGCACTCATAACAAGCAGATTATCAGCGCTCTGCTCATTAAAGAGAAGACCTGCAGGCTTCTGTGAGTTAAAACATCCTGATGCTGTTCAGGTGTAAATGTTGTGCTCCATCCCTGTGTTTGAACTCAGAAGATGCTTCCTGATGCCACAGATATGTGATGATTTAGCTTGTTTCTTTATTTTACTCCAGAATAAGAGATTAAATTATTACAAAATCTGTTCAATGTAGTTAAATTAGTCATTCAAATGATTCTAAGCTGCTGCTGCTGCTGTGTGTGTGTGTGTGTGTGTGTGTGTGTGTGTGTGTGTGTGTGTGTGTGTGTGTGTGTGTGTGTGTGTGTGTGTGTGTGTTAAACATATAGGACTGCATGAGACAGCATGGTTTCATCAAATCCATGCATCCTATATCTTGGCTGAAGTAACGTCTCAGGAAAATAACTTAGATTTCATAAATAATGACGTCTCTGCATTGTTTATGATAATATTTTATCTTATATTGGACCTGTCTTTGGTCTGGGAGGTGTAACTTATCATGATACACGCCTTTTAAAACATGTTAAAGTGTTACAAGAGGAGATAAATGCATGAATTTGAAGTTCATATTTGGAGACCAACCTTCACAGTTTGGAGGCTTACGCTGGTGAGGAGCAGTAGCGGTTTTAGGCACGGGCAGACAGGGCAGTTGCCCGGGGCGGCATTTTTTCATGACACAAAAGGGGCGCACAAGCGCTGAGTAAAAAAAAAAAAAAAAAGGAAATCTGCGCCGCACCGAGGTTTTCTATTATCTGTCATATGACAGTGTCTGGATTGGAAACAGCAAGTTGGCGCCCCCTGCAGCTGCAGGTGCTCCTGCTGACTGAGAACGTTCACGTGCACCGTGTGTGTATGAAGAACAGGAAGGGGAGGGGTGCGGCGGGGGAATTCACCTCTGCGTCTTTCCCAAATGAAATGAGCGCAAAATGAGCGTGCAGGGGCTGAATCAACTGTATTAACATGGCTAAAGTCAATCACATCTTAACGTTCTTCCATATTTCATTCATAATATCATAAACACAGGCCTATCATTCTTTCAGGTTTCTCTGAATTGTGTGAAATGGCCAAATAAAAAAAGGAAAAACAAAACGATTTTGTGGTCACACCCCCATCAAGGTCAAATAGTTTAGTCCTGACTAAAGGAAACTTACTGAGTCAGGAGCCAAACAGAAGAGATGAACATAAAAAGGCTAAAACCACCAGGTGCCCCATTCAGGGGGAAAAAAAAAGAAAAAAGAGGAGAAAGATAAAGGTATGCTCTCATGATGCATGTTGCATGATGCATGTTTAACGGTTAAATGCGGTCAACTAGTTGCTAACAGAGCTAATAGGGCTGAAATATTGAAACGAAATTCAAATGGTTCGAAAAAAGTCCTTGAATCGTTTTTTACTGATTCAAACTAGGATTTGTTAAATGCTCACTGCAGCCCGTGGCCTGCCTGAACAACAACTAACACATGTTGATCATGTTCACATAATAATAAATAAAACAACTCTACAAGCAGAAGAAAACTCCCCAGTCACCACTAACTCTCCTGTTTATTTATTGCAGATGGCTGCACTGATTATTTTTACATGATTTGTTCTGTAAATGTTGGCATTTTTGGTAGTCTACAGTTTTTTATGTCAGTTTAAATTACAATTTCAGAGGCAATTCTAAAATATTATGGATCATGAGATCTATTGGAGATCTACCCCAACTTTTGGACTGCTCTGCCAGTCACTGTGGCTCAAGCTGAGAGGAGCTTTTCAAAACTTGATCAAGTCATACCTGAGGTCACCTATGTTTCAGGGGCGGCTCACTAACCTGGCTCTGATTAGTATCAATCACTCAGTAGGGGAGCAGATTTCATATGATGACATTATTGATGACATTGCATCAAGGTTAGGTTTTAATTTTAGTTTGT